GTCTAGTCTTTGTAGTTTACAGTGGAGTCTACAGTCTAGTCTAGAGTCTAGTCTATAGTCTAGTCTATAGTCTAGTCTATAGTCTAGTCTATAGTCTAGTATATAGTCTAGTCTATAGTCTAGTCTAGTATATAGTCTAGTCTATAGTCTAGTCTATAGTTTAGTCTATAGTCTAGCCTAGTCTATAGTCTAGTATATAGTCTAGTCTATATTCTGGTCTAGTCTATAGTCTAGTATATAGTCTAGTCTATAGTCTAGTATATAGTCTAGTCTATAGTCTAGTCTATAGTCTATAGTCTAGTCTATAGTCTAGTCTATAGTCTAGTCTATAGTCTAGTCTATAGTCTAGTCTATAGTCTAGTCTATAGTCTAGTCTATAGTCTAGTCTATAGTCTAGTCTATAGTCTAGTCTATAGTCTATAGTCTATAGTCTAGTCTAGTATAGTCTATAGTCTATAGTCTATAGTCTAGTCTATAGTCTAGTCTATAGTCTAGTCTATAGTCTAGTCTATAGTCTAGTCTATAGTCTAGTCTATAGTCTAGTCTATAGTCTAGTCTATAGTCTAGTCTATAGTCTAGTCTATAGTCTAGTCTATAGTCTAGTCTATAGTCTAGTCTATAGTCTAGTCTATAGTCTAGTCTATAGTCTAGTCTATAGTCTAGTCTATAGTCTAGTCTATAGTCTAGTCTATAGTCTAGTCTATAGTCTAGTCTATAGTCTAGTCTATAGTCTAGTCTATAGTCTAGTCTATAGTCTAGTCTATAGTCTAGTCTATAGTCTAGTCTATAGTCTAGTCTATAGTCTAGTCTATAGTCTAGTCTATAGTCTAGTCTATAGTCTAGTCTATAGTCTAGTCTATAGTCTAGTCTATAGTCTAGTCTATAGTCTAGTCTAAGTCTATAGTCCATAGTCTAGTCTATAGTCTAGTCTATAGTCTAGTCTATAGTCTAGTCCATAGTCTAGTCTATAGTCTAGTCTATAGTCTAGTCTATAGTCTAGTCTATATATAGTCTATAGTCTAGTCTAGTCTATAGTCTAGTCTATAGTCTAGTCTATAGTCTAGTCTATAGTCTAGTCTAGTCTATAGTCTAGTCTATAGTCTAGTCTATAGTCTAGTCTATAGTCTAGTCTATAGTCTAGTCTATAGTCTAGTCTATAGTCTAGTCTATAGTCTAGATAGTCTAGTCTATAGTCTAGTCTATAGTCTAGTCTATAGTCTAGTCTATAGTCTAGTCTATAGTCTAGTCTATAGTCTAGTCTATAGTCTAGTCTATAGTCTAGTCTATAGTCTAGTCTATAGTCTAGTCTATAGTCTAGTCTATAGTCTAGTCTATAGTCTAGTCTATAGTCTAGTCTATAGTCTAGTCTATAGTCTAGTCTATAGTCTAGTCTATAGTCTAGTCTATAGTCTAGTCTATAGTCTAGTCTATAGTCTAGTCTATAGTCTAGTCTATAGTCTAGTCTATAGTCTAGTCTATAGTCTAGTCTATAGTCTAGTCTATAGTCTAGTCTATAGTCTAGTCTATAGTCTAGTCTATAGTCTAGTCTATAGTCTAGTCTATAGTCTAGTCTATAGTCTAGTCTATAGTCTAGTCTATAGTCTAGTCTATAGTCTAGTCTATAGTCTAGTCTATAGTCTAGTCTATAGTCTAGTCTATAGTCTAGTCTATAGTCTAGTCTATAGTCTAGTCTATAGTCTAGTCTATAGTCTAGTCTATAGTCTAGTCTATAGTCTAGTCTATAGTCTAGTCTATAGTCTAGTCTATAGTCTAGTCTATAGTCTAGTCTATAGTCTAGTCTATAGTCTAGTCTATGTCTAGTCTATAGTCTAGTCTATAGTCTAGTCTATAGTCTAGTCTATAGTCTAGTCTATAGTCTAGTCTATAGTCTAGTCTATAGTCTAGTCTATAGTCTAGTCTATAGTCTAGTCTATAGTCTAGTCTATAGTCTAGTCTATAGTCTAGTCTATAGTCTAGTCTATAGTCTAGTCTATAGTCTAGTCTATAGTCTAGTCTATAGTCTAGTCTATAGTCTAGTCTATAGTCTAGTCTATAGTCTAGTCTATAGTCTAGTCTATAGTCTAGTCTATAGTCTAGTCTATAGTCTAGTCTATAGTCTAGTCTATAGTCTAGTCTATAGTCTAGTCTATAGTCTAGTCTATAGTCTAGTCTATAGTCTAGTCTATAGTCTAGTCTATAGTCTAGTCTATAGTCTAGTCTAGTCTAGTCTATAGTCTAGTCTATAGTCTAGTCTATAGTCTAGTCTATAGTCTAGTCTATAGTCTAGTCTATAGTCTAGTCTATAGTCTAGTCTATAGTCAAGTCTATAGTCTAGTCTATAGTCTAGTCTATAGTCTAGTCTATAGTCTAGTCTATAGTCTAGTCTAGTCTAGTCTATAGTCTAGTCTATAGTCTAGTCTATAGTCTAGTCTATAGTCTAGTCTATAGTCTAGTCTATAGTCTAGTCTATAGTCTAGTCTATAGTCTAGTCTATAGTCTAGTCTATAGTCTAGTCTATAGTCTAGTCTATAGTCTAGTCTATAGTCTAGTCTATAGTCTAGTCTATAGTCTAGTCTATAGTCTAGTCTATAGTCTAGTCTATAGTCTAGTCTATAGTCTAGTCTATAGTCTAGTCTATAGTCTAGTCTATAGTCTAGTCTATAGTCTAGTCTATAGTCTAGTCTATAGTCTAGTCTATAGTCTAGTCTATAGTCTAGTCTATAGTCTAGTCTATAGTCTAGTCTATAGTCTAGTCTATAGTCTAGTCTATAGTCTAGTCTATAGTCTAGTCTATAGTCTAGTCTATAGTCTAGTCTATAGTCTAGTCTATAGTCTAGTCTATAGTCTAGTCTATAGTCTAGTCTATAGTCTAGTCTATAGTCTAGTCTATAGTCTAGTCTATAGTCTAGTCTATAGTCTAGTCTATAGTCTAGTCTATATTCTAGTCTATAGTCTAGTCTATAGTCTAGTCTATAGTCTAGTCTATAGTCTAGTCTATAGTCTAGTCTATAGTCTAGTCTATAGTCTAGTCTAGTCTAGTCTATAGTCTTGTCTATAGTCTAGTCTATAGTCTTGTCTATAGTCTAGTCTATAGTCTAGTCTATAGTCTAGTCTATAGTCTAGTCTATAGTCTAGTCTATAGTCTAGTCTATAGTCTAGTCTATAGTCTAGTCTATAGTCTAGTCTATAGTCTAGTCTATAGTCTAGTCTATAGTCTAGTCTATAGTCTAGTCTATAGTCTAGTCTATAGTCTAGTCTATAGTCTAGTCTATAGTCTAGTCTATAGTCTAGTCTATAGTCTAGTCTATAGTCTAGTCTATAGTCTAGTCTATAGTCTAGTCTATAGTCTAACTACAGAGTTGTCTGTTGTCTTGTCTGTATTATAGTCTGTAGTATAGACTATAGTCTAGACTGTAGGCTATTCTGTAATAAAGTCTGTAGTCTAGTCTATATAGGTTATAATATTATTCGATATTGTATATACGAACTAATGCCCAATATTCAGCATATTCGCGATATAGTCTCATTGGAACTCTTTAAATTTGTTTTAAATATTAAATATTGTTAGAACTTGTTGTTTTGATTTCGAACTTTTTCGTTACGTTCTGGAGTTAAAAAACCCGTGTTTATGAAATCATCCTAAAAAGTAATTTCGAGTGTTATATATAACTAGGGATAATAAATTAAGTAAATACATACATTTGTTTCTTAATTTCGAGCATATTTTTAAGAATAGCACTAAACTTTTTTTTCTAAAAACCAATACATTTAAATAAACATTTGCATGGCAATTCATAAAATTTAGAGCAATATAATTAAGTTACACACACATATAGGAAATAGATTGGTTCTGTGGCAACAAGTTAAATGTACACAAATAGAGTTTCATAAAACTAAAACTTAATATGCCATCCATGCATCGTACTTTATTGAAAATACAAGTTTGGTACTTTTTGGAAAATTGAATGTTTAAGGGGAAAAAATTGTACTTTTTTATAAAACATGTTTTCTATTTATTGGCTTATACAAATGCATGACTATTTAATAATATATTCCCACTGCTGGTATTGAATCTTTTTTAGAATACAATTTTTATTGCTCTAGTAGGGAGGAAAAAAGTACCAAAAAGGGCATATTTGAACTCTTTGAGACAATTTGGATAAAATTTTAGAAATTGATAGATTTAGTAAAACTGGGGTGTTAATTGCAGCTCGGCTACTGAACCTTACTTAAGTACACAATTTAGTGAATAATTTGGTACTTTTTGAGCTGATAAAGCAGATTTGTAGCTTTAGTGCATTTCCGTGGCCAAAAACATTGAATGGTTTGAAATCTTGTAAACGTATATTCCGGAGTTAGAAAGGAAAATTGTCCTTCCAAAAAAGAAGTTTTTTTTATATAGAGGGAATTTTTTGGTACTTTTTTATTCAACTGGTACTTTTTTATTTTTATAATATTGAACCTAAAAACATAAAATTAAAAGATAAACTATAAAAGAGAACATTCTACAAATGACTTTGACCATTTGTTTTGGATGTTGCAGAACAACTTTTACATAAAAGTTAAAAGTAAGCACTGAAATAAGTGGTTCTTAAGAAGTAGTGCTAAAGTAAAGCCAACGTAATTACTTTATTATTGATTTTTACTTAGCAGGATTAGAGCTTAGAAAAGAGATTTAAAATATACCAAAAAAATTGAGATAAGCACTTTTACTTTGTTGCCACAGAGTTATAGGAGAGACATACATACATAGAAGATAGTTAGAAAGAGTAAGAGG